CCGGAACCAGCAGTTGGTGTATCATTTGCGATGGCCAAATATAGGATTGGACTGTGGGCTGAAGAGAGACTTCGCCTACTGTGGACCAGTTCTCCTGGAATGAGACATGCTAAGGTGTTTATTAACATCGCCACTGTCAAACCCGGGAATATTTTAGGACTTGCCCGTAGTAGCATAAAAGTTCTAATGGGTGTTTTTACTGGGCACTGCCGATTAAAAGCACACCTCAACTTGTTGGGTTTAGCCGACGATGTTGAATGCCGACTATGTGCGGAGGAAGCAGAGACGGTTGAGCATGTTTTATGCCACTGCCCTGCCGTTAACCGTATCAGATTCTCGATTTTTGGGTCGCAGTTTATCTCCTCAAAAGATCTGAATGACCTTTCGCCGAGCAAGGTATTAATGTTCGTTAAGAGCATTGGACTGCACGGTGAAATTTGATAACGATATCTATCGGGGTACAATAGATCCTTAGGGTCGCGGTGCAAGGTTGGTTGGTCCGCCTACCCGATATGTATTCTATGTAATGTAATGTAATGTAATGTAATGTACTTTACCAGTCATACTGTGATAGTACCTCCTTCCAAACTCTACTTGACAAAACTGATAATTTGTTGATGAAGTTGCTTCAAAAGCTTGTGAAAGAAGGAGTTTCCAAGACAGTTTACCTTTATCATTCAAAAATATTAATTGAAAAGCTAACCCCCAAACCTCAACCCCAGGGAATTTACTTATATGACGCCACGTATACCCTTTCCCAGTTATTAGACAATATTGACAATTATCTTCCAAAATCATTGAAGGTAGTTACCAAATGTATCAAATGCGAAAAAAACATTACCGAAACACAAAATGCGTTATTATTATTACCGTCAGACACCTATACTCAGCACAAGTTGGGGCAACTTCTGCAAGAATCCCTTAAACCTGTGGTGGTCAACTATTGCTGTGGAGAAAAAATTATGAAAGTGCCGGTTGTAACTTACCCATATATAATTTTTGAAACCTTCACTGCATGTTAACTTTCTTTTGAAATTTTTCCGAAAGTTATTGTGATGGAAAATATCAGGTACCATTTGAAGGGTCTAGTAAACTATTTTGGAGGTGTATCAGCCAAAAGTGTTGGACATTTCGTGTCTTATTGTCACAAAAATTGTGTTTGGCAAAAGTACGATGATTTAAACAACAAAAGCTCATCAATTAAAAAGAAAATGTGTAACAACGTACAAACCATCGTATACGTCAAATAAAATTAATTGCAAAATGTAAGGTACCTGCGGCAAATAAGGTCCACTTAATTTCAAACCGTAATAAAATTGTGTATGAAAAAGTAGAAAAACAAAATTTGACTCATCAATGAGTTTTTTAAAAAAACCCACTGTTAAACAGCCGCTTCAATGGGCCTTATTAAATAACCCTACTACAATAATATTAAAAAAAAATCGCCAGTTCTTAATTAATGATGTTGACCTATTTTATTTAAAAACTTCAGATACTAGAGTAGAATTCTTTAACTGGAAGTTTTTAAACTGGTTCCTTCTTAAGAATTGTGGGCCATATTATATCAGTGCAACGGAGGCGATTTCCGCGCACCCTTAATAAGAAATAAATTAATATCTGGCGTACCGTAATAGCACAAATCTTGGCGTTTGCGGCACAAACCAGCACAAACGAAGCACAAACGAAAACTATTAGGAAATTTTTATGTCAGTACAACGGGGGCGATTTCCCCGCACACCCAATACGAAATAAATCAATATCTGGCGTACTTTAATAGCACAAATCTTGGCGTTTGCGGCACAAACCAGCACAAACGAAGCACAACCGAAAACTATAAGGAAATTTTTATGTCAGTACAACGGGGGCGATTTCCCCGCACACCCAATACGAAATAAATTAATATCTGGCGTACCGTAATAGCACAAATCTTGGCGTTTGCGGCACAAACCAGCACAAACGAAGCACAAACGAAAACTATTAGGGCATTTTTATGTCAGTACAAGAGGGGCGGCATAGGGAACAATTTTAATTTCATGTCTCCAGCCCCACCTACAAAAAACTCGAATATCTCACGAACGAAAGCAGCACAAACGACCGCGTTTACGGCACAAAACAGCACAAACGTGGCACAAACGAATACCATGAAAAGAAATTTTAATTTCGATAGTGCTATATATAAACGGTGCTATTTATGAGGAAGTTATGCTTTTCGAAATCCGAAGCACAGTAAAATCTAGTCCTCACTGATAAACGATGCCTGCGAATCCTGATCTATTTATGCACGCACCAAAACTACTTCTTCACGAGGAGAAATGGCTAAAATACATACTTTAGTAGTCCTTCTCTTAAAATTCTTCAAATTTTTAGCATAATTTAGAAATTTGGCCTTCATTGGCCGTGAAAACCAATGAAGTTCTAAATCTATTTCGGCGTTACACATGATAACCCAATAACGCAATTAGCTGTGCTGATGGAATGTGATTAAGTTAAGTGATGTTTGTAATTCGGTTATTTTGGGAATGTTGGAGTTTTGGTGAATAAAATGATTTAAGTTAATGAAATGATAATGAGATTATTTATTATTTACATTTTTTCGTCATAAAAAAATATTCGTTTTAATCAGTTTTTTCTTTTTTATCTCCACCGTTAAAAACCAATTTATTCACCAACATTTTTACCACAACAACAATAACCACAATTAATCCCAAGATATCATAATTATTCGTTTGATACCAACTCATTTTTCTTCCCGCAACCGAAAGATTACGTAAATCACCATTTTTTAATAAATAATCAAACCACATTAAAAACTTATCAAGCGGTTTTAGAGGCTGATTTTTATACAAAGACGATAACTTCATCATATTTTCTTTATATCTGTTAAAAAAAACAAAAATTAAATTTAATTCAATAAAAGATTAAATTAAAACCTTGAATTCATCAAAACTTCATTGATTGATTCATAAAGTTTATTCGCTGTAATTTCTTTATAGTTTAAAATAATTCCTGCTTCAATTTCTTCAAATTTCGCGCTTCTATAATATTGATCATGAAATAGGGGTATTCCGATTATCGGAATTCCCCTAAATATAGTTTCTTGGGAACTTAAAGCACCACAATGGGTTATAAAAAGTTTTGTATTCGAGTGGGCTAAAATATCGCTTTGAGGGAACCAATTTTTAATGATAACATTTTTTGAAGTTACGATATCATCAAATTTCCATAAAATAGTTTGATTTAATTTCGAAAATGCTTCGATGAAAGCACTTTTTACGTGGTCTTTATAAAATTTCGGTTGAAAATTTGAACCTAATGAAACAAAAACGATTCCTTCAACAGAATTATTTAAAATCTTTTCTAAATCTTCATCGATTTTTGTTGCTGATTGATTTATTTCTTTTAAATGAACCCCACCGATTTGGATGACATTTGGGACGTTTGGTTTTGGGTAATCTAATATTGGGTCATCATTAGGGAAAATTAATGATATTTCGTTTCCTAATTCGTTAATTTTTCGAACGTTTTCGCCGAAAACTTTTTTATTTATTTCATCTAATTTTGGGAGGTAATAAAATCTGGATAAGCGCTCGATTGTTGTGTAAAAAATGCTACAAAATCTTTGAAATAAATTCATTTTGTCGGTGTAAGGTAAACCGTAATAAGGAGTATAAATTTGGATTGATTCGCCGATGATATCATTTAAATATGTTTGTAAACCAAACGCTGTTACTCCGATTGCGGGTTGATTGTTAAAATGATCGATTAAGGGTAAATAACACTCTGAAAATGTTATATCGAAAATTAATAAATTAAAAAAGCTTTTTGGGTAATTTAAAAGTGCTTTAAATTCTTCTGAGTTCATGTTAAACTCGCACGATTTCTGAATAAACTCCCACATCGATAAAATTGATTTAACACTAGTTTCATCAATTACATTTTTTAATGTTGATGATATATTTTCAGTAAATTTTTCATCTAAAATAATTAATTACACACATAAATTGCATAATATAAATTTAATAATAATATATACACACCATTTATTTGTAAAATAGAATAATTGTTACTTATTATATTCGCAGGATAAAAACCAATCATTGTAACATTATGATTCTTACTCAACAAACCCTCAATTAAAGCTTCGTTCCAAATATGATGACTCGGAGATGGCACCAAATTCACAAATAAAATATTTTCCGCTAAAACGAAATGTACATTGATTATTAAGAATATCTTAAACAACATTTCGTTTTTCGACGGCGATGAACACGCGATGACTGAAATAAAAAGAGATTGTCGAGGACAAATTTAGAAAGTTTAACACAATTTTTACGCTAGTTTTTTAAATTTCAAATTATTTGTAATTTCATTTCACAATTCCCATTATCTTTATAGTAAAGAATTGTTCTGATTTGACCTTGTGGATTAGAGTAATCATCGTAGATAACACTAAATTCAACAATATTAGTGCAGTTGTAAAATAACCTTGGTTTGAGTCGAACTTACAATTAGTTGAAATTTGTTTTAGTTTGAAAATGCTAAAAATATTCTTTTTAATTTTATTTGTGAAAAGTGTTTTATCTACAAACATTTTGTTCGTAACTTTGTTGGCATCGCCCAGTCATCATATTTGGAATGAGGCTTTAGTGGATGGTTTATTAAAGTATGATTATAATATTACGATGGTTTCTCATTTTCCAGCGACGATAAAACACAAGAATTATACGTTACATCATGTTGATGGTAATATTATTTTTTTTTAATTAAAAACAATTTAGAAGAATTATTAAATAAATAAACTTAAATAAATACAAGTACGAAGGCTACCACAAAATAAACCATAAAGCCTATTTATGGGCTGCAGTCCAGGACCCTAGTCCATCAAAGGGCCCTATTTCTAATTTACTGATTTAGTATTTTTAGAAAATGAAATTTTTCTTATAGCCATAGCTGGTTACCATAGCAACGAAACCAAAAATAATACAAAAAAAATAATATCGTCAAGTGGTGCTGTTGAATTTTGTTGTTCAAGAAGGTATTTCTTTGATAAATGGTTATTAAGTGTGATTATTACAGATCATTTTAAAAAGAAAACATTGAGCTTAAATTTAAAATAAGTCTCATTCCTTAATTTCAATAAACATGGTTTCTAAGAATTTTTAAATTAGCATCTTTTTTGACTCTTTTAAATGTAAGTGTTGTTTCAACATTTTTTTTCTTAATATTTTTCCAATTCAACCCAACAATTATTATACATCATTTTAAAAAGAAAGCTTTGAGCTTTAATTTAGAATAAGTCTCATTCTTTAATTTCAATAAATACGGCTTCCAGGAATTTTTAAATTAGCATCTTTTTTGACACTTTTAGGTTATACGAAAATGTTAGTTTTAACTCAATACTCTTTTTCTCAATATTTTTTTAATTCAACCCATCGATTGTTATACATCGATTTAAACAGAAAGCTTCAAGCTTCAATTTAAAATAAGTTTTATTTCTTAATTTCAATAAACACGGTTTCCAGGAATTTTTGAATTAGCATCTTTTTTGACACTTAGACTATGCGAAAATAGGGGGATTGCATATTTTGCTAAAATTTTATTCCAAAGGCCTTTAGTGAGTGTATTTTGATAGCGTTTTAATTCTGTCTGATTCTGTCACAAAGTTTCAAAATGTTTGACTTCTTGGGACACAAAGGGTTAAGTAAGTTTATTAGTAAGTAGTATAGTATATTAAGTATATATACTATACTAATATATTTTAAGTATATTAGTATAGTAAGCTTCAGAGAAGTTCTGCTAGAAGAAGAAATGAAAAATAATTGATTTTTTTATAAATCTTGATATAGCCGGTAGAATAAGTTTTTTTATAATGACTTCTTAAATATCGCGATTCTGTAAGCCACCGTGTAAAATGCAGGCAAAACGTTGTTTAGTGTCGATGGAGTTTAAAAAAATGAATATTTTTGTTGTATGAGTTCTATTAACTTCTTGTTTTCTGACTTTTCATTTATATTCTTAGTTGCTTAAATTTATTATATAATTAAAATAGATTTCGAGAAAAATTCTTTAAATATAGTACCTTAATTTTTCTTTAGCTGTTATAAGTTTTTATTCAATTAAGAAAATTACAAAATGTGTTGACGTCGAGTTTTGAAGAGAGTTTCTGGTTGCAGACCTCATCCATGGCCTGTATCTTCAACAGTTGCAAACTCCTTCATTTTGATGTTATTCACAAAGTCTCCTAACTTTCTAGCGTAGAATAGCTTTTGTTTCATATTCCTTCACACCAAATGCAACTGATAATTTAAAATTTTCAAATAACCACGAAAATATCAGCTTTTTCAATTTTCTACAAAAACCATTTATCATTAGAGCTCGGATTTTTATGCAGTCAAATTATAGGAGATATGCGCATAAATATGCAAGCTTTTTATTAAAAATATGCAAATACCTTTCTATCACATTTTTGTATATGTTTTGCACTTTTCACATGTTGTTCTATTTATTTTTTTCCTCTCACACGTTATCTTAAAAAAGAATAATTAAAAAAGTTTGCCATAGATACACTAACAGATGAAAATTTAATTCTGAGCCTATAAAACAGATTCGTATTTTTCATTGTCTAGAAACATATGTAAAAACATATTTCAAGAAGATGGGACATCAAATTTAATATAGTTTTATTTAGTTTTAATTTAACAGTTTTCCATTTTTTTTAACTCCTAGTTTAAAAGTCTATGAGAAATACAATTTCGGAACAAACCATTGGCAACTCCTCTGAAAACTCTAATTTTTAACTTAAATCTTTGGCTAAAACGCTATGACAATTTTAAAAAAATACTTACAACTTTGGCACAAGTTATACAAAATAATTCCTCATTAATTAAATTTAGTTCGGGATAACTTTTTATCCACTGGGACACAAGACACGATATCACTTTAGGCGTTGTTGTTATAGATTGGTAGATTAATGTTCACTCACACTGAACACAGCCACAGTAACTATGGTTGGGGATTTCCTTAAACTTAAACTCAACAACGCTAGGGATTTCCCGCATGTTTCTGTGAATCGTTGTAAACAAGAAATCAACCCGCAATCAAAAAATATCCTGTATTGTGCTTTAAACTAAAAGGTATGTTCGCATATTTAAAAATCACGTAGTCATTATATTTATTTAATTAAGCAACAAGAACAAATCAAAGTCCAATTAAAAAGTAAAAGGCCAATTTATGCAACAATCAAAAAAATTGGAAAAATATGCAAAATATGCAATTTTTTATTGTATCATCTGCCTTATTTTTATGTAATTTGCCCAGAAATCAATTTTGAAAAAAATATTCCAGAAAATAAAGAAGATGCATTTTGCATAAAATCCGAGCCCTATTTATCATATAGGGATCAATCACAAAGTCTCCTTATTTTTTAACATACAATACGCTGGTGAAGGAAAAGAGTGAAGTTGGCATTTAAAAAAATTAACTTTTCGACTTTTCGAGATAGGGTAATTTGGCGCAAATTTTTTAAGGTAGTAAGGAAGATGAAAGAACTGGTAAAAGCCACAGGAAATCCGGCAGAACAACAGAAAAGCTTATTCGTACAGGCCCCAGTACCCCCAAGGATATATGGATTACCTAAAATCCATAACCCAGCGGTTCTACTATGCCCTATTGTCAGTGCCATAAATTTTCCACCTATCAGCTAACAAAACACCTTGTAAAGATTCTGTCTCCTTTTACAGGTAAAATAGAGTCATATGTCAGAGATTCCACACATTTTGTAGAATCAATCAGGAGTATGAAGCTAGAACCTCAGGATATCCCGATAAGTTTCGACGTGGAATTTCTATTCACCAGAGTACCAGTCAAAGGTGCCGTGGATAGTCTTGCCAGAAACTTAGACCGGGAGGTTTGCCAAAGTGTATCCCATGAGTATTACCTATCGTCGACATATTTTAGCTGGAAGGAAGAGTTCTACGAGCAATGCGAAGGGGCATCCATGGGATCACCTCTATCACCTGTGATCGCCAATTTTTAAATGGAGATGTTTGAAGAGGCAGCGGTAAAGAAAAGTCATTGGAAACCGAAACTACGGCTCCGTTACGTCCATGACACTTTCGTGATTTGGCAACATGGAAAGGAGCAACTCCAGGAATTTCTAGACCACCTCAATTCATAGCACCCCATAATAAAATTTACCATAAAAATAGAAACAGCAAAACAGTTGGCATTCTTGGATGTGTTGATCACTAGAAAGACAGGTGGGGCATGGACGCATACGAATAGGTCCGTGATTCAAGCGTTATTCCAGCGAGCAGAGAGCATATATGTTAAAGGAAACCTGAGGAAAGAAGAAAGATTCCTAGAAGATGTACTGCAGAAGGATGGTTTTAGGAGCCTTCCTTATGTTTCATGTGTGACGGAGCGAATTGCGAGATGTCTGAAGAAGAATGGTATCGTGGTATGATACAGTACGGTCGGCAAAATACAAAAAACCAAAGAATAGCCAAAGACAAACTTACCCCATTAAAGGGAGAGGGAGTCTATCGGCTATCATGCAGTTGCAGGAAATATTACCTTGGCCAAAATCGTTGCCGTCGTTGAATGCCATCAAGGAACACGAGAGGGATGTCAGAGTGAGTATAATCCAACAATCTGCAGTCAGAGAGCATTGCCACAAAGGAGGTCACACCATAGAGTTTGACAAAACCAAAGTACTATCAAGAAACGAACATTACTTCCAAAGATTGACGAGAGAGGCGAAAGAGATTCGTCAACATGAGAATAACATGTATAGAGAAGACGGTTGGGAAGTCAGCCGCACATGAAAGATGCTAGTGAACTCAACGAAACCTTCACCCGGATTTCACAAAAACAACGTGGTTGTCAATTAGACAGTAATTAGTTATTAATTATCTTTTTCGACACTTCGAACTTGTTTCTGAAGAAGGTTGCAATATGGCATCTCAAACGTCAAAAATTTTTTCGAAAGACTCACGGCTTAAGCCGAAAGTTTCTAGGTCTAGTGATAGTGTTTGTCTAGTTTTATCAAAAAATTATGTTTATTGTGATGAATCTAGAGATATGATAACTTATATCAAATTATATTAAAATTTAGCGGGGATCTCGAAAATTTAATAAAAATTGGACATTCCATTTAAAATAACGAACTTTTTAGCTGAAACGAGCTCCTCGGATAAATCCTGTATGCTAATTTTCACAAAAATAGTGTTACTAGTTTACCATATACACTGTTGGAAATAATTCACGAGCACACCCTGTATAATCTGAACGCGTGTGTCTAGCGCAATACAATTTGGTATGGAAGTAGTACTAAAGTAGTGTAACTTACTCTCACATGGAGAGCGGCATAACTCTGCTGGGAGGAGAAACATCAATAGCGAGAGTATCCCCCGTGAGCTTCGCGTACCATCGCTACACGACGTGGCATGGAGTCTATAAGTCGCTGTATTGTAGCGAGAGGGATGGCCAACCATGCCACCTCAACTCACCTCCATAGCTCCTCAACGTTAGCCAAGGAAGCCGGATAACGTAGAAGTCTCCGACCAGTCATGTCCCAAACATGTTCGATCGGATTCAGATGCGGAAACCGAGCTAGCCATGGAAGCATTCGTATATGGTGCTCTTCCACAAAGGTCTGTACAACACGCCCGATGTGCTGTCGTACGTTGTCGTGCATGTATAGCAGACCTGGGAGCCGCCGAACGTAGGGAAGCACAACGGACCGTAGCACCTCATCTACGTATCGTTGACCCGTCATGGTCTGCTATACACGCAGCAGACGTGTACGTCCACCATATGTAATCGCACCCCATACCATAATGCTCGGTTGTCGGTGGATAGGGCGTTCTTGCACACACTGCTCGAGTAGACGATCACCACGGCTCCGACGAACTAAAATTCGCGCATCACCGGTGCTCAATTCGAATCTTGATTCGTCGGAAAACAAAATGTCCCTCTACTCGGCAACCTACTAATGCCTAGCGTCGACCCACTCGTGACGTATGCTGCGGTGCTCGGGTGTTACTGGAATCCGCTGTATCGCACGACGCGCGCGCAGTCCACTATCTACCAAACGCCGCCGTACAGTTCGCGTAGTGAGTGCGCCTTCCCCTGCCGGTGGCCAAACAGCTCCAAGTTGCCTTGAGGAGGACACACACGACGCTAAAGCGCTGAGCACAAGAGCGCGATCCTCGTGTGCTGGGGACGCGCAGGGCCGTCCCGGCCGCGGCTGAAGGTACCTATGTCCTACCTCAGACCATTCTCGCCATGCCCGTTGCACTGCCGATAACGACCGCTCGAGACGACGCGCAATTTCACAGAACGATACACCCTCAATGTGCATACCCACAAACATTCCTCGCTCAAACTCGCTTAAGTAACGCGATCGCCCATCCATTGCGCACAGAGTACGATAACAATGTGGTCCCTCACACCACACTAAAAACGACCGGTATTTTCCATCCACTTCGGTCTCCATAGCGACGGAATGTTCCACTTGGAAGGGCGGCTCAGTCAACAATGCCGCGACGGAACAACTCGAAACTCCCTGAATAAACTCGTCTACAGTAAATCTTTGTGCTCCGCAAATATTATAGATTTATCTTCACGCGTTCAGATTATATAGGGTGTGCTCGTGAATTATTTGCAACAGTGTATATTAAAATTTAGTGGGGATCTCGAAAATTCAATAAAAATTGGATATTCCATTTAAAAAAACGAACTGAAAATATTTTAGCTGAAACGAGCTCCTCGGATAAATCCTGTATACAAATTTTCACAAAAATAGTGTCACTACTTTACCATATACATATAGGCAGACCCTGTTCTTGAAGGCATACTTTCTTTGTTATTTCCACAGATATTCTTGGATGTACCCAAATGGTAATAGTTAGATGATTTAATACTAGCTGATAGTTAACTAAAGAACCTTCCATTCGGTCAACGGTGTTGGAGTAGATTCTACAAAGTAGAGCAATGTCTCACAAAAATTTTGGTAGTTGCACGTTTTTATACTTTTCGACTTCATATAACAACGTGCAACTTTACTATAGTTATAAGTTTTGTTGAGTAATATGAGGCCTTATATGTAGGAGATCGTCAGTGTATGTAGGAGCTGCTCGAAGCTTTTCCAATAATTGAAAGACTGTTATAGTTTTTGATGCAAAATTTTGTTTACATCATTTACGAAATAACTAAATTATTGCTAAGATTTTTAATCCTTTAAAATTTCTAACACCATCAATGATTCAGTAGACTCCAATTTATTGAAAAATTTAGTTTTTCGGAATTTTACAATTTCTCCTATCTTCATAACAAAGTATTAAATTTAGACTAATCGCAGATAATATTTTTTGATAAAGATAATACATTAAAGAACATTGTTTCAGTTGTAAAATAACGTCGTCTTTAGTTAAACAGACTTGATTTTTTGAAATAGTTTTAAAATGTTAAAAATTTTCTTATTAATTTTATTTTCACAAATTGTGTCGTCCATAAATATCTTATTCGTAACTATGGTTGTATCACCTAGTCATCATATTTGGAACGAAGCTTTAGTGGATGGTTTATTAAAAAATAATTATAACATAACGATGTTTTCTTATTTTCATGAAACGATAAAACACAAAAATTATACCTTACATCATGTAGATGGTATTATTCTTTTTTTCTATAATAAATATAACATAATATATTGATTTAATTTATAATTTTGAATTTTTTATTTTAGTAAATCCTCTTCTGGAATCTATGGATGGAAATTTTATAAAAGAAATATCTCAAGATTCAACCTTATTAGCAGTTCTTGCACCTTGGAAATACACACCATTCATGTGCAGATATTGTTTTGAATCAGAGGAATTCAAAAAGATCTTAAACTACCCAAAAGATTTTTTTGATCTTTTAGTATTCGATGTTACTTTCGCGCACTGTTTCTTTCCTCTAATCGATTATTTCGGGAAACCACCAGTAATTGGAATCACAGCTTTTGGAATGCAACCTTACATAAGCGATATAATCGGACAAAGAATAGAATCTTACTCACCATATTATAATTTACCTTACACAAACAAAATGACGTTTTTTGAGAGATTTTATAGCGTGATTCATCAAAAAGTTGAACTTTTAAGTAAATGGTATTATTTAGAAGAAGTTACTGAAGAATCGAAAAGATTTTTTGGTAAAAACATTCTCAATTTAGATGAATACGAAAAAAGTATTTCTTTAATATTTAGTAACGACGATCCAATAATGGATTATCCGAAAGCTTTCCCGCCTAATGTAATCCCCATCGGCGGGGTTCATTTAAAAGAACCTAAAAAGCTCGAAGGTGATCTCCAAAAAATTATGGACGATTCTAAAAATGGAGTGATTTTAGTTTCGATGGGTTCTAATTTTAAAGCCGATCATTACAGTGATGATGTTAAATCAGCCTTAATCGAAGCGTTCTCTAGGTTAAAATTAACAATTTTATGGAAATTTGAAGATGAATTAAAAGTTTCGAAAAATGTTTATTTAAGAAGATGGCTCCCTCAAAGAGATATTTTAGCCCATCCAAACACAAAACTTTTTATAACTCATTGTGGTGGACTTAGTACTCAAGAAACTATCGTTAGAGGCGTCCCGGTTGTTGGTATTCCTTTATTTATGGATCAATACAATAAAGCAGCTAAATTTAAAGCGACAAAAAGTGGGATAATTTTGAAATATTCCGAATTAACTGCCGATATTATTTTCGATGGTGTTAACGAAGTTTTATCGAATCCAGAATATAAGGAGAATATGATGAGGTTGTCAAATTTGTATAAAAATCAACCGCAAAAACCGATTGATAAATTTTTGATTTGGGTTGATTACGTTTTGAAAAATGGTCATTTGGATCATCTTTCGGTTTCAGCGAGGTATATGAAGTGGTACCAAGTAGATAATTGGGATATTTTCGGGTTTTGTTTAGTAATTCTTTTTGTTACTTTGTATGTTTTTAAGAAAGTTTGTTGTTTTGTATCAAAATGTTTTAAGAGAAATAGTTCGGGGAAACAAAAAATGCATTAGATTTATTGTTATTTAATGTTGTAATTTTTGTAATAAAAATTACAAACATATTTTTTACCAAAATTAATTTTTAAACTTATCATATCGTCGGTATACAAGAGAAAGTAACTAAGTCCACAGATAGTGGTTTTGAGTTATTAGTATTCTAATTTTTGCTTCTTATTATAAAATCAATTATTTTACGTGAGATTAGTTTATAACGATTTTTATAAATAATATAGTTTTTAGAATATGTATTTTAAATTAAAAAAGTCTATAACTAATTTAAGCAAATACTAAACCAGTAACTCATTTCAACTGCATAGGTTTGTAATGGTTTCTATGAACAATGCAGATTCTAGAATATGTATTTAAACTTAAAAAAGACTATAATTAAACAAGTAGTAGTAACTAGTTTCAACTTCATATGTCTTCATCACTATATTCATTGTGTGAGGGTTCTGGACACTTGTCTTTCAAGGAATTGTCACTCGGTATGTCAAAGTACCAACCATGGTATTCGATCGGAATTACCCCCTTACGGCAAAGTTGAATTAAATCGTTTTTCTTCTTGATCGATATAGGCAAGGGTTCAGTATAACATTTCTTTAACTCAGTTTCTTTTGGAATATTATTACTGGGCCTACCTTTTGCTTTGCCTTTAATGTTAAACATTTTATACTCTTCATCATAGTTGTATCGGAACATTATAAACTTTTTTTTCTCTTTTTCGTACCTTAATTGTTTGATCTTTAACCATTCTATTTTTTCTCCCCCTTCATCCCGAATTGTATTTTGTAGTATAGATGTATTGAGTGCTTTCAAGTCAATAATGTCACGGTAAGTCATTTGCTCTACAATGTAGGCACCAGAAGTTTTATTTTTGCCTCTCTTGGATCTTGCTAGTGTCATAATTGTCTTCCAATCATTAAGACAAAATACAGGAATGTATTTTTTTGCACTTTCAATTGCACTATGCATCGAATCGGCCTCCATGTGCGAGTGACCTTTTTCTAAAAAGTTGTGAGTAATAATCTCTATAGGTAACTGGTTGACTACAAACAACAAAAGAGCCGCAATGTATTTATTTCGGTTTTGGCCGCCACATGTGTCGCTAAAGAGTGACACTTCTTTGACAGTATCAGGTAAAGTTTTAAACCACTTCAATAAAGCTGTACCTATTTCACAACTTCCTCGTTGGCCATCAACTTCGGACCAAAGGTAACAATATCCCTTATTTGGTGGAGCTGCTTCATAAATTGCTAAATTGTATGCACATAGCTTTCGACTGTAGTAAAGAGGTGATACATCGGAGCATGGAATTTGCAGGACACTCTGTAAGTCAAAACTTACTGATACAAAAGTTTTGTCATGAATTGCTCTTTGTTTATCTAAATCTTTTGCTCTATTAGCATCATCCCTTCGCTTTATGTGAGAAAGAAATTCTTCTGATTTTTCAATAGATTTAGCTTCTTTAACACACAGCAAACATTGATCTTTCTTTGGTTTGAAGAAAGATAAGTTATACTGCGTACAAAACACCCTCCTATATGTTATTGGAGAAACAAAATCCTTTTGATTGCTGATCTGTAAATCTTTGTACAATTCATACATTTTAAGAATGGATAAGGTAGAGTCAAGATACTTCCGTGTAGTTCCACGTCTACAATAGTGTGATTCCATCACAGGAAATGATTCTATATGTCTCTTCACCTCATTCAAAATGACAGGTTTAGTCTTATTTCCTGGGAAACTTTTTCCTCGTCGATCTTGAATTGAATGATTTATTCCATTTGTGTCTATGTTCATTATAGCAGAATCAACCGGTCCATGACTTATCGACAAGGTTTTTAAGTAAAAATTTTTACAAACTCTTTTCTTTTCTCCGTTTTTAACAAATGTATAAATTTTAGAGACATTTTTTGCAGGTCTACTAGAGTCCCTCGTTCGTTTTCTTCGGCATTCAGAAGTTGCAACGGTATTAATTATAAAGTCCTTTTGTCTGTCATAGGATAGACTGTGATACTGTTTACAGATATCTTGTCGACGATCTGCAGGAAATACTTCTGTACATTTGTAGCGGCAATTGTCACAATTTACATTTCTAGGGGACTTTGCAGGCATTTGTTTGCCTTTAGTATTAATATACGCTAAACACGATTTTTTTAATAACTTGTTTTTCTCACGTTTTGTTCCTTGAGGATTTTTTATTACCCATCTGCGTTTTTCTATAACTTGCGTAGGATTTACTAGTGGTTCATTTATTATTAAAGTCGTAGGGCTTGTATTATTAGAATTAGTAGCAAATTCTACCGGAACATCCCTAAGATCATTAATAATTTCTTGTGCGTTGTTATAATAATTTTTTTTTTAACAACTCATTTTGCCACTAAAATAAGGTATTATTGCATTAGCTTATTATTTTTTAAAACTAAATATCCGAAAAACAAAATTATTGTAATACGTGCAGATAGTGACCAAGTCCATACTAAGACATGACTAAGTCCACTTAGTCATTTTCTCCTGTACAGGTTTTTACAAAATGGACTTGGTCATTATGGAATTTGAAATTATAAGCATTATTATGGCATTTTTGGACTTGTTCATTTTTTCCAGAAAAATAATATTGAATTTCCGGTACATGAGCATTGAAACCTAAAAATCTAAAATTTTGGACTTGATCACGTCATTCTCTTGTATACCGACGATATGTATATTAAGTTGTCTAACTTATACACCACAACCTCACTTCTTTATTTATTATTTATTACACAAGTATACACGGTTTTGGACCTGAACAACCAAATGTTCTTTCTGAGGTAATTAGCAACGCTGAATTCGAATCTCCCGTTTTTTAAGATTGGTTTTAGTTTTTGAAATATTTAATGAATTAATTATAATCTTTTTAATAAGATTGAATAAAAAATGTGATAAATCAAAAATGAAGTCATTCTTTAGGATCCACGTGTTAGAGTTCAACAATAATCGCTTATCATGTCATCATCTCAAAATCCTCGATTTTCGCCGTCTTAAAAAAATCAAGATAGGAATGCAAGAAATTAATCTTGAGAGACATGCGAGTTTCCAATTTTCTTTAAAATCCTTCATCGGGCGTTAAACATTTTTTAAAGTTTCCATCAGCCATTATCTTTCCAATATTAAATCCGACAAATATTAATTTGATTTTAGTGTATGATAATTTAGAAAAACTAAATCATTAAGTACTCAAAAGTCGGTCCTTCACCATTACGATACGTTCTTAATAAGGCCAAGTTTGAGTTGAAGTGGTGGCAGGAATCTTGTGATTTTACATTTGGTACAGAGGAGGCGTTCTGTTTTCCTGGCTTATAACAATTACGACTTGGCCAATTTTTTCTCACATAATGATGTTCAGTTACATGGTTATCCCACAGACACCTTTGTACTGCATCAACAACTGCCTATATATGTATTTTGAACCATCGATGAACAAACGCCATTCCTTTCCATCATACTACGTATTCATGGCATCAATTAAGCCTTTGATGTAATTGCAGAAACACGTTTCCTTTTTGCTTGAAGAATTGTTGAAGCGTTTCATTTCTTTTCCTGTATACAGTGACTCGTGTTCCACTGAAAAGATATTTCCATTCATGCAACTGTTCTGCCTTTTGTTTCCAAAAGCTCAAATCACGGAACCAATCACTCAGTTCACTTTGCGTTATTAAATAGTTTCCTTCCATGACGAAATTACTACTATCACTGGTTGACGGAGATATCTTGCTGGGCACTCTGGACACACTCGGTAATGGGTCACTACTCGTGATATACATCATGATATTTGTATTGTACTAGTTTTCTTGCATTAATACTGACGACGTTCATACATCTACATGATTTTTTGGTTCTCTCCATAGAATTGGCAATGAAAATAAAAAGTACACTTTTTCAGCAAGTGATCACTTCTACAGCTTTGTTCTGCATGCATTACAAAATAACTTAGACACACACGGCTTCTCAATGTCTGATATAGAGAACCCAAAGTAATGCAAATACGCGTGAACTGCTTTTTAGCGGAATGTCGGTTGAAAACTATTTAAAAAACTCAAAATTCAAGACCTCTTTACAAACAGATTGAAGATACGGAATTGTATCTTTATCATTCAAATGCAGTAGCTACAGAGTTACATTCAAAAATCCTTAACATCTCAGATCCGATGCCTATCTGATAATGGCAATAGGAATTAATAACTTTAGTACGACCTGTTGCTCTTCCGAATTTCTATCACTGTGAACCTTGCCAAGAAAGGACTTATCTTTATTTCTAGACCATAAAGACTAATCTCGAGCTGCCGAAACTCTACTCACCAGTTGCCGTTTATCATCATAGCCTTTATCCGAAATAGACGTTAGCGACGAATCCATCAAGACAAAAATTGGATTGCATATATCTGCCCTGTTTGTTATTACCGGTGTAACTTTTTTCATGTCCAGCTTGGTTAAAATACTCTGCAATAGTCTTGTTCAAATCCTCTTCTGACATCTTCAAAAAACTGCTCACAGGTTCAATCTAAGTAGCGCACATAATAATTAGCTAAGCTGTATGCGTTTTGCCTTCCAGCATCCACTCTTTGACAATATCTGCATCTGTATCTTCATATGTTTGTCCAGAGTCCAAGAAGTCACTAAGCACTAAAAGTAATGCGGGGTCTGAACATTTATTTGTACAGTCTGAACTTTATATTTCCCGACGTTACTTCTAATCGGGTATATTTCAAAAAATGTTTTGTCTCATAATAGCGTCTAATATTGGAACTTTTCAAAACAAAGTTGTAGGAAGTTTATCACACTATAAATAGAAAATATTTTTATACATACAGGATGTTCCATAACGACGTACTGAAATAAACATATGTTATTTAAACGCTTTGATATAGTTTTTATTGCGTATTCTGATTCTACACACAAAACTAAGTTGACTTTGATAAAACATGTTGATACCTAGTATTTTAGTTTTTGAATTATTTTAATTAGAAACTTTTTTTAGCAATTAACACTGTCCTTTAAATCTGAATTTTTTAGCGACTTTCT